GGCTTGCCATATTATGTAAGGTGTCATATCATGGAGAGGTCTGACAAAAGCCACACAGACGTACAGTATAGCCGATGCTTTATAGTCGCATTGTTTTGCTTTTCACTGTGAATCAATCGAGCGGAAAAAAGGAGCAATCTTTTTGGAAATAAAGCTCAGTCCATCCTAGTGAGAAAGCAGCGGAAGGTGGTGGACGTGAAGCAGAAAATGGGCATGTATGAAGAGTAATCAAGGAAGAGAGCGGAGATGCTGGACTGGGATAAGAACCGTGTGTGTGTGTGTGTGTGTGTGTGTGTTTTTGAAAGGGGGCGGTGGTGAAATGAGAGCAGCTGGGGGTCTGCAGGAGACAGTCAAATGTGCTTGTTATCACCAAAGATGGGCGCAGCGGGAGAGGAACACACTCGAGACCTTTGCACTGACCTCGGACAGCCTTTGCGGAGCTGTTAACGACTATCAGACACATGTACTGTAATTGTGTAGACTTTGTGGAGGATATGCATGTGGATGTAGATAAATATGATAGATAGAAACATGGAGATTTAAAAGTTTTGAGAAAGGAAACATTTTTGAACAGTTTAGACCAACACAGCTGACTGCATATTATTAAAGTGGTTCTTCTTTTCAAAGAAAGCAATGTAAATGTAAATGTGCACTTTGATGCCCGCGTTGGGAAATTCATCCTCTGCATTTGACCCAACCTGATGCCACTAAGGCTTTCGTCAGAAGCAGTGGTCACCGTAGTAACAGCGCTCAGGAACCCATCTCCAGATATTGATGCTCGGCTTGGTCAGGACTACCAGAGCTGGAAGATTTTACCCATTGAGCTCATTTTTAGTGGTAGGGAAAACCGGAACACCCGGAGGAAACCGTAGCAGACATGGGGAGAACAGGCAAATTCTACTCCGAAAGTCCCTGCTGATTATGTATGGCTCTAAATGTTATTAAACAAAGTAAACATCATACGTATTTACAGTGAAAAAAAAATATGGCTCTATTCACTAAAAAGATTCCCGACCTCTGCTCTAGTGCAAAGAAGTATAACTTGCATGTTTATCTGTAGATAAATCTGTAAATCATGACAAACTTTTTCACCATAAAATTCATATTATCAGCGTCTTGTTTCCTGCAACATTTGAAGCACAACCGTCCCATTCAAAGGACATATTTTGTTTAATGAAAAATCCCCACGTCCACATGATTCCACCATCCTGAAACCCCTGGACAGTGAAAAGCAGCATTGGACTGCCGTTGCTTACACTGGGAACAGCTGGAGGCCCGCTCTTATCACACGCTTCTCTTGTGTTATGTTAGAACTCGGCGGAATTCGCTTGGGAAACTGTTGAAGTTGACTGTGCAGTGTTTATGTGCAGAGAGAGATAACAGCCCATGAGTTTACACGGTCCCGGGCCGAGAGGTCAAGAGGATTATCTTAAAATATTAGGGACATTTTGACCTGGCACCCCCCCCGGCCCGCGCCTCTGTCTTGTCTCCGCGGGGCTTCTGTATCCCAGAGAGAGGCAAGAGGCACCTGTTGCTTAAGTTGCGCCGCGGGAACTTTATGAGAAAATGGAAATGGGGTTAGAGACGAGGCAATGTCACAGGAGAAAGACTGGGGGAATGAGAGACACAACTGGATTTTGTTGTTGTTGATTTATGTTGATTTTATTCATTCATTCAAGCAGAAATGTTACAATCATAAGTATTTACAAAATTTACATTCCTTTGTTCACATGACATTTTGAACTGTTGCCTTCTGTGCTTACAGTTTATATACATGCAAATGTCCATCCATCCATTTTATACATCTCGAATTGGATTTTTGTAAGGTATGGAGGTATTCTTTCCAATTGATAAGGCGTGTCCAAAGTGGACCGATCTCAGCCTCCGTGTCACTTTTTGTGGCCCTTCACGTTGTTAACCCAAAGTTTCATTGAGATCACACAGCAACAGTATTTGCCCTAGTTTCACCATGTGTTTCATATTTACAATATCAATATGTATTTACAAATGCATTTCTATTCACAAATTGTCAGCACAAAAAGGATTGGGAAAGAAGTAAAAACTAATATGGTTCTTGTGTGACAAAGGTTGGAAAAGCATATTATCTTGAAACAATATCACCCCATTTTCCGAAAGAATCAACACATTATACCTTTAATGTTCACTCCTTGGTGAAAGCAATGTGATTTTCTAAGATGCAGAAGCATTAAGAGCAGAATGATTTGATTTTTGTTTTTTTGAACCACCAATAGTTTTTTAATTATAGCCCTTGACAAAATGGTTGAGATGCATTTTGATGGTAAAAGTGCCTAAAACCAAGTGATACAGATGCCAGATGAGGTAGATTTCAGTTCCAAGCTTCAAGTAGATCTAGTGACTCAAAAAATGATCCACCAAATGGTCGAGGAAACTATTAAAGGGGTAAAAAGCGATGAAATTTGTGCTATTTGTCCCTACTTACAGTTAGCAAGAAAATTGGTACAAGCCTATACTCTGTCTCTGTGAAAGTTCAGTATTATAGGTCACTTTTCACACAGTGTATAAGATTAAGATTAAGAGATCGTTTAATGGACCCTTAGTGGGGAAACAGTGCAGTATTAAAACAGTTTCATTAAATATTTAGCTTAATAATGAAATCAAGTATTAACATATGTGTAAAACTATTCATGCAAATGCCAATAAATATGTATATCAATCAATCAATCAACTTTTATATGTCTTCCCTACACAAAGCAACACAAAGCGCCTCACAATCCACAAATCATGAACGTTGAAATCTACATAAACATACCAAAATATGATTTAAAAATACATACATCTGTAGATACATCTGTAATACACTCTAGGAAAAAATTGAAGTAATACGTCAATACTCAGTGATACAACTTCTGTACATGTTGTAGTACAAATATGTGGGTACGAAACAAATAAGAATTTCTTTATTTACTGACTTTTTTGGGTCATGCTCTGAGTGTGCACAGAGGAGCTCTCAGTGCAGTCGCTGTTCCTGTGTCTGGAGGAACACTGCCCTCACGGCTCTGCTGCATTCTCACTATAGTTCTCGATGAAATTTGACCCACAGATTGGAAAAGCGCTTTGTTTGCATGGTGAAAACATTGCAAAATTGTATAAACATCAATTTGAATTGTAGCAATAATGATAAAAAAATATATCTTTGAAGTTTGCATGTATAATTCCGGCTTGTTTTCTAAGTTGCATTACTTAAGCTAAAATCAATTCTTATTGTTTTTCTGTTTGACTCCTTCCTTAAACATGTGTCCAGTGTTGGGAGTAACAAGATATTATTTTTGAAGTAATTCTGGAGTGTAACTTTTCACAATAATAACACGTTTAATTGTTTAGGCTGAAATACCACAAAAGCAATGCAAAAAGATATAGCCATGATCGGACTATTTCAACAAAAAAATTAAGCACACGTTTGCTTCTTCCTTATTTTTGATTCATATGAGAATTATGAGTCCACACATAGCAGTTTGTGTGGGATTAAAACATCCTTAAACAACAGAGGTATTTGAAATATTTTTTTAGACCATGTGTCACTATCGGCATTGTGTTTTGGACTGAAAGTAAATCAGTGTAACTTAAAATAGTGTGACACTCCAACATTATAAAGCCAGTAATATTCTAATGCAGTCAATTGATACATCATTAATCAAGATGTTTATTTTTAGTTCATGTAAAACACAAGTACAAATTCATTACATCTATGGATACAGTAAATTATACATTACAGTTATAGAGTAAATGGCCAGCACTGCACGTATCTTGAAGTGACAACCGTGCCATTTGCATATGCGTGTGCGTGCGTGTGCCCTGTCCACTGACCACAGAGGGGCGTACGGCGCACTGCACGGGGATACAAATGCCATATTGTAACTTTCAGTCATACAGGCTATGTGTCTGATCAAGTGGCAAATGGCTTCAAAAGTTGCTCTCATGGCCATAAACACATCTCCAACGTCTGCAGTGTAATCTCCAATTAGTCCGCACAGTTTCTCCCGTGTCCATGCATCCGTTTCACTTAACAGCCTCTGACGTTCTGCAAAATCAGTCTATATTATTAGTAAGTTGCATTGGGCAGTTGTCTGACACGTCACACTGACACACTGTCCTCAGGAGCTGAGCGTGTTGCTGATGAAGTCCACAGTGATGTTGACGTCTGTGGGAAGCAGAGCAGTACCACTCTTATCAGCAGCATCGCAGTCACCACGACGTGTGACAGCGGTCTGCGCGCTCCCAGGCTCCTCTCCTCTCCTCGGCCTGTGACTGTCCGCCTCTATCTCGCTCTAATTGAATTAGTGTGTTTTGGAAGGGGGAGGGACACGACTTTGTTCCAGAGCCGCCCATTCAAACCGCGCAGAGCCAATGGGACTGTGCCCCGCTCTCCGTCACCAAAGGCTCTCTCTCTGCTCTGGCGGCTGTGCCTGGCTCGCCACAACGCACTGCAACTCCACGCAGCGCACGCACGCAGGACTGGTTTTTTTTTTTCTTTGCTACGTGTCGCGTAATGGCTCATATATGAGCGCCAGCAGCACGAGACGGACATAAACATCACCTCGGATCAGACACTGTTCGTGCACGCGGATTCGGACCCCTCCCCGCGCGTGACACAGCTGCAGGACACGGGAGCAGGACAGTGGACAGAGCAGGACGCACGGGAGTGTATGGCTTTAGAAAGTTACCGTGAGGACATGGACATCTGAGGCGCGCACCCGGCTGTTTGTGACTGTGTCGTTTGAGACTGTGAGGACCAGAGCTGCGCGCTCCCGCTGTGGCTGGAGTCTGAGGACAGTCTGCTGTGACTCCGCGTACACACGCGTTTACACGCGGACACCGGGAACAAGTGTCACCGAGTCCCGTGTGTCACTCTTCCACTTCGGTTGGCGCTGCGGGCGGCTGTGTGAGTGCGCACAGCGTGAGCCCATGTGAACCAGAGTCACCTGTCCCGTACGAGAGCCGTCCCAGACCCGAGGATAGTGATGCTGGCTGTGGAGGTGGAGATGGGGCTGTTCGCCTGTCTGCTGCTCTGGATGTGTGTTTTCAGCCAGGAGCCCAGCTCCAAAGTAGTGGCTGACCGCTACGCAGTCTTCTGGAACCGGACAAACGCCAGGTGAGTGTGTGCTGTTACGCGCTCCGGGAGCTCCGGGAGCCCGGAGCCTGGTGTCTGCTGCTATGGCACTGCGCGCTGCTGGTAGAGGCCACGGGGCTCTGCGCTGCTTATGCTGTGTCCGGTCTGATCTGTGCTTGGATTTAACTCGAGGAGAATTGAGCTGAGCCGAGAGGAAGCTCTGTGTGGAAGAGGGCTGAGTGTTCAGTGACAGGGACAGGTCTCAGAGCGTGTCCGCCGCTACGAGCGCTGCGCCGGGCTCCTCTGCCTGTCCTCGGGCTGAGCTTCCTCCGCGTATGGGACTGTTGTGTGGGAGTGAACAGGGGTTTGGGCTCTGTATCTCACTCTTAGACATATTTATAGTTCACTTTTGTTGGGCAGCATATATGGAACTGCATATTAAACCGAAGCGTATTTACTCTCTACGTTGTGGACATGGACTCACGCGTAACGGGAAAGAACTGTACGTATTCAAATGAGGCTATTCAACGTTCCCGTCCCGTACTAATTCCATGTGGAAAACAAATTATAAATTATTTTGTCAGAAAACGTATACTATTTTCCTTAGTGACCCTTTTTCAGTTCATACATTTTCTCATTATATACACCCACAGTGCAGTCACGGGGGAAAACACCAAACAATTAAATCCACATCTATTTCCATTCTCTTCAAGAACACAATCTAGATTTATTTGCTCAATTACACATACATTAGAAAACTCTTTGAATGGGAGCCACCAAAGTTCATTTGAGTGAATCAAAGGCTCTGGCTAAACTTATTCCTATAACGTTTTGCTTCTTTGGATTTACTTTTACAATTAGATACCCTTAAATACGTCATTACACTGCAAATCAAGATTATTGGATCCGCCTGCATGCGTTTCCATGTGCTGAAATCGCAGTGGCACAAATAGCTGCCCCAAACACGGATGTAGATAATATTCTTGAGGGCAGCAGTGTGTGAAACAGCCTCACTCTCCATTGAACCTTCACCATAATCTTTCGGGCAAAATCCCTCTCCTCAGATTGTGCTCAAAGTCGTTACTAACACCCACACAATTAACTGAACAACTGTTTATACCCAGCCTGAAGTATTTGGGCAAACACGATTTACTACTGGGGCAGTTAGTGGTTGGAAGCAGAGACTTTGTAGGCACATTCTTCCTCCGATAGCCCCTCAGCTAGGACCCAAAGTGGACACACTCTCTGAGCATATTTCAGAGGAAACTTTGTTATTTTTGTTTGGTCGAAAAGTTTGCGTTGTGACTCCAAACAAAGACAGATTTTTTTATATAACAAATGTTGAGTCATCTGGCAATTTTTATGAACTGTATTGAAAAGTTTAACCTTCTTCTTCTTCTTCTTCTTTTTGAAAACCTTTCCAGACACTTGACATTTCAAAACACAACTAAATCCAAAAATCGCAACGGCACTAAAATCCCCATAGTTCATTTTCGCACCTTCTATGAAAAGAGTCATTTGTAGCTGTCCGCTCGCAACTTATGAATCGCCGTCTTGCTCCACACGATCGCCTGTAGCTAAATTATCCATCACATGCAGAAGTTTTTTTTTTTTTTGTGGTTCTTTTGAAAGACAAGTTAGAAAGAACCACAGAAAGTGTTTTTTAACTCAAGACAAAATGAACCTTTTTTGAATCAGAAGTGGTTTTTGTCTTCGTCTCGTCATGGATTTTGTTTGTTTTTTCATTCATGGTTCCGTCAGCATTGTCAAATTTGTGCTACGCGAGAGGAAAGAGGCTGGGAGGTTCACGGTTGGAACTAAGATGAGACATTTATCCGTTCCAAGAGTGAGGAAGCAGATTCTTGGTGAAGTTTGTAAATTCTTGTGTTTGTTTAGCAGTCTGTTTTTTTTTTTTTTTTTTTACGTTTTTGAAGATTGCAATAGTAAATTGTTGTTTCTTCTCACAATGATTGACGCACACAACAAAAAAAGTGGAAAAAAGACTTTGAAATAAAAATGGATCGATTCTTCTCTTTGCTCCTGCAGAAATTTGGATTTTCAAATTATAATTTTTGTGTGTTCCAGTCTAAGAATATGAGCTTTTTGTTTTGATGATTTGGATTTAGAAGGAGACTTTTGAATAGTAGTTTTTGATTTTGTTGTCTGTAATTAGTCAGAAAAAAGAAAAGGCAAAATCCTTTGTAAATTAGTGGTCATAAAATAAAAAATGAAGGCATAAAAATCAATATAGTTTTGTTTCGTGGATAGCTAAATAGTGGTTTGTGGAGAGAAACTTTTTAACAACTTAAAAACTACAATACACTGCAAAAAAATGATTGAAAATATAAGTACATAAGTGTCTATATAAATGCCTCCATTTTGAGATCAATAAAGTTAATCTTATCTTTTTTCATATTTACTCGGATTTGATTCTGTGAACCTTAATTGAACAAGCAAAAAATGTCTAGAAATAAGGCACAACTGTCTCACTTGATAAAAGAAAAAAAACGTCAATTGTGCTTATAGCTACGTCTGTTGGGCTCATGAAGTCAATACAATGAAATCAGTCAAAACCAACCATTGAATTAAAAAACTAAATATTTCAAGTATAATCTAGGTATTTTTATAGTGTAATCTAGATTTTTTATAGTGCAGTTGTAGCTTCCCTTCTTTAAATAGAGAAAGATACGCGGCAAAACTACCAAACTTTTTTTTTTTTTTCAAGACTCGATTAGTCCATTGGCAAATCTTAGCTTGTATCACTCAAAACCACAGATAATTTCGTACATTTAACCGCGTACATTTGTAGTAACTCTCTGTCATGTGAATAAAGCGTTTTTGCAATGCATGAGGTGGTGCTACACATATACACATATACCCATATACTATACTACATACTGTCAGAAGCATTGGAGGCATATAGAGTACATTTATTCCAACACGCTCAATCTTTAACAAAAAAAAATTCCACTTTTCATCCATCCACACAACACATGTCCTTTATGTCCGCGCTCTTTACATTTCAGCCCGTCTTTTACGTTCAGCCCATTTTTTCTCCAGAGCGATTTGTGCGACGATTGGAAAATAGTGCCACTTCAAATGCATAGCTGCGTGGCTCTATGGCGTTGGTTCTAGTAATCGGACGGACAGATGGACGCTCTGTAGTCCCCCCGCACACACAGGCTTTTTATAGACTTCTTTAAAGAAACCAACAGTTCTTTTGCACAAACAGATTCGAAAAGTATTTGAAATGTTTACATATTTTTCTTTTTACCAAGTCGTTTATGAAAAGCCTGGTCTATTTTAGTGCCATACAAATAAGGTTTCACCCCTCCTAGACCACATCTCCATGCATTTACTGCCAATTAAAAATTAAAAATAATCATGTTGAAGGTTGTAGCTTGTGGAATAACGTTTTTTTTGGCACATTTTCAATCTGTTTTTCAAATTGCTCTGTCAAATATATTTTTAAACAGTTTCTGTTTCTTCTCTGCTGCTATTTTTGTGGATTGCGCTAAAATAATGCAAAGTCAGCCGAAAAGCATTTCCTTGTACATTCATACACTGCAAAAAACTGGAAAAACTTGCTTAAAATGACTTGAATTCATGTTTTTATTTTTGGTAAAGAGTGGACTAACGCTTGAAATGTAAAGGAAAAAGAATAAAAGTTTTTAGACTTCTGCTGGATTTATCAATTCAATAAAAAACTGTCCAAAACAACTGAATTGAATTTCTTTTATTTTTATTTTTGTAGTGTAGTGTAGCTTCCCTTCTTTAAACTGAGAGAGATGTGTTGCAAAACTGGCATTTTTTTTGTCTTTTCAAAGCCTGTTTAAAAAAATTACTATAAGAATACATAGAAATAAGTGAAGTGTATCAAAAATAACAGCTAGAAATTCTTTGTAAAATAAAAAACAAGTTTGGCTTTGTCATTTTTTTGTAGCAATATTGCGAGCTCAGCTTTCTCCCAAACTTTATTAATACCTGCAATGCCCTCTTGCCCCATGTCCCTTCCTGTTTGGGGTGAAAAATGAACAAAAAACACATAATCTATAATGTTCTTTAGCTTTTCGGTGACATATCCCCACACATTGTTGTCCATTGGTGATCTTATGCTGTATCTTTGCTCCGTGTTGTTAAGTCTCTCTAAAGTTTGTTGAGCTATGAGCTGAGTCGACTTGCCCTGGTGCGAGAGAGTTGTGCGAGTCAGGGGAAAATAAAAGAAAAGTGCCTGGAATAAACGTGCTGCGCGGCGGTAAACGAGGAGGTCTTTTATTTCAGAGCGTGCGGCTGATTTGTAAAAGCACTTTGGTCTAAATGAGACGTGTTGAAGGTCTGCGTATGTGAGGTTTCCCCAGAGCAGCTGTGGCGATGGCCCCCAGACTCAGAGACAAGACCGTGGAAACATACAGGACTGAGCTGTTAAAACCCATAGATACATTATTATTATTATTACTAGCATTGATATTGAAGCATTTACAGCAATAGCTAAAAAACATAGCAGCTATGCTTAAATTCTATTTTTTTGCACATTTCTCCAGTGTGGGATCAATAAAGTCTTATCAATCTTCTCTTTTCAAATCCTTTTTTGGTTGTCATACAGTCAGTGAATGTGATATCTGTTATTAATCATGTGCACGTGTATGTATTTATGACAATATTTAACAAAACCAATTGTGAGCAGACAATGTCAATTTGTATTTTTAATGAATTTAAATAAAAAAAAAAAATTGTACGATTATATATGTGAAAAAAACAAAACTTTAAATTTGTGCATTTGTGATTAAACCCCATCAGATGAAATTAAATTAAAAAGAAATTACACAACGCACAATGACTAGTTCATTTAAAACCAAACAAAAGCGCTCCAGTGTCCTTTTAATCACATATTCTATGACTATAACAACAGTCTTTAGCGACGTTAGCGGAACAAAGCTAATTGTCACGATTTTAGGAGGGTAATTTCTAATCAATCTATTGAATCCTCACTGTGGTTTGTTGTGCCTGTTATTCAATTATTGTTTTTTTCACATCTGCAAAAATAACAACTCCTTACATGGAATTTCCAAATCTAGACTTGGATAATTGTGCGAATAGGAAAAACAAATATCTATTTCCGTACTGTCAAATGCTTCAGTTCTTGTCTAGGCTTTCCCAAGTGCTGTGCAGATAAGAAGAAACAGTAACAATAAAACACATAAAGATGCAGAAATATATATAGACACATACAAAATTAAATATATATATAGACTCTAACGCCATGGAACGTGTCGTTATGAGCGGCCAGTGCAGGGTTAATAGAACTAAGTAGATTGTAAGTGCCTTGAAAGTCAGTGTTTCACCTCGCAGCCTCAGCCCTGACTTTTTTTTTTCCAACAGGAGCCGACAGT